CGAACAAAATATTCGATATTTGGGTGGTTATGATTTATTCAAGTAAATTTCAGAGAGTTTTTTATTCACTCCAATAAGGATTCAATGTCTGAATTATGTTTTACAATATAATTTGAATTGCAACCCAAGTTTGGCTGCTCAGTCATTACGAATAAATTCAATTCGATCTGTAAACTTTTGTTACTGCCGCAGCTGCTTACACACTTGCACTTGGAGTAATTCTTAAGATGATGGATGCCTAGTAATGCATGCAGTCGAATAAAAAAAATAATTTTGGACAATATAATCGGTTTATAGTTTGCATTATTTCCCCATCTATCAAAATCGCCAGATGTGACAAATTTGTTGGTATTAACACGTATTGAATAGCTGCAATGAAATTGATTTTACGTATTTACGAGAAATTTGAATAAATTCTGAATGCAGCTGTTCCTAAGCTTAGCTCCATTTACATTTGGCACTGAAATGGTGAAGCGGAAACTTTACGCTGCATTATTTATTAAGCAAGCAAACGAAAAATTAGTTTTCTACAAATTGATTGTGCATTAAAACTGAGTTGGATGTGTAAATTTGCTGCATAAATAATCCAATTTTAATTAATCAATGAATAAATAATTTTTATTGTAATTAATTTCATTGCCTTAATTAAAATAATATTATTTATTGATAACAAAGAGTTAGAATTTTTTAATCAAATTTATTTATGAACTATCCATGCCATCATAATGAACTTGTTTCAATGTTCTGCACAATAGATTTTCCATTGATAATAATGAATAAAAAAACTTTCATCATATCAAATAAAATATCAACTACAAAAAAAAAGATTTATTTTTTCAACTTAACTTTATACCAGAAATTGTGTGAAATTAATTGAAGTGCACAATTTGCTGCAATTCAACAAAATCATAAATCTCAAAAGCATTTCACTTCGTATTTTATCTCATAATAAAATCATTAAACAATAAAACAATAATAATTCCCTATCGAAGTGCATCCTCTTAATAATTTCTCAGATATCATTTGGTAGCACATCTTAGAGTGATGTTAGATATTACCGATTTATGATTTAAAATTTTAAACAATAAATTGAATGAATGACATTAAGTATTTAAAATTTATTTACTTTAGAAATTTTAGACAATTTTTGACTTTAATTACTTCTTATAAACTTAAACTTAATATTAATAATAAGAAAAAAATATCAAAAAAAAAATTCAAAAATAATTTAATAGGAATTGATATCCTTATTAGTTACTTCAAAAAGAGATAAAATTAATTTCTTACATTCCAATAATAATTATTATTTTTTCTAAACCATATATATAATATCCAATTAATATCTATAAGAATAAATTCTTGTTTTTTATGATTATGTGTAATAATTATTGTGCACAATATAGATACATATAATACAATATAATATAGTTATATAATTAATTAAATTAATTTAGACAAACGTTATCAATAATTTCTATCATAATAACGCTGCAACACTTTATCAAAAACAATTCATTCAAAAAAAATTAGTTACAAATCTTTTTTAAGGTCATTAAATCTATAATTCTATCATATAATCCATAAAAATCCATATATATATCCGAGAAATGACCTATTAAATCACATCAAATAAAACGACTTTAGCATATAAAAGATGAATTTGCAGTACTCAAATAAGTTGAGTAGGGAAATTGTCTCTGGCCAATCATATACTACAAAGCCAATTGCGGATGTCATTTGAAGAGACTAGCTAAATCGTGATTCTCCAGTAAATCCAACTACAAGTGATCTCATTGTACCAAGCTCTTCTTCCCGGAATACTCTGGGAAGAAAACGCAAATACCTAGTTAATCTGATCGGATTTTAAAACAATGATTGGGCACTGCCTACTAAACAAATAAAACGTACGATTAAAACGATTCTTCCATTCTTATATATTGTGTTTGGAAATCTTCCTGCTCTAATACAATATACAATAGGTACACGAATTGAAGTGGTTAAATATTAATCTAGAAAATATTTGTATTTTCTGGGAACAATAGAATAGTAAGACACAATAAATAGTTTAATATTGATCGTGAACGAGGCTGTATAAATATAATAATAAGAATAATTCAAACCATATTTAACTCAGTACTACAAAATGATGGATCGCTGTAAAATACACTAAATCTTACCGTTAAAAATGATGGGTGCATTTTTAAATGACGCAACTCCAGCAGGTTAAGATATATAGAGCATATAATTTAGAAAAAATGGATCTAAATAGTTGTATAGACGTCGAGGCAGATTAGAAACAAAAGAATACATCCTTTTTTCGTAGAAGAATTTTGGTTCAATATACTTATTCTTTAAACAAAATCTGTTTCCTTGAAACAATTCTTTTAAGCTGTATTTGTAAACAGACAATAGACGTGCTGGAGATCTTGAAAATATGATGAATGAGAAAATATTTCCGTGTGTATTTCCAAAAACTTGAGGATCGGATTTTGACAAGCCAATGCCCAGTGTTAGTGAGTTTTTTTCTTTATCATAATATAATATTATCTGATATTGGTTATTCTTTCTTTTTGTGGTAATACATATAGAAGAACAAAATATGTGAGCAGCTCAAACCACAGAGTTCATATCCATATCAACTGACACTTGCATTTCGAATAGTGTTGTTTTTGTCGTTACTGCCTATTCGACGGACTATCGATTTGATTTCGGAATATAATGTTGAATCAATATTTATCCATTATAACACACCACGCAAAAAATTCTGCAACAAAATTATTTTTAATCTATTAGAAATCAATTTAGTAACCATTTCAAGCATACCGTTTGCAATGTGCTGTAAAAATAATATTTGTACTTATTTCAATATAAGTCCTATCAAATTGTAAAGTCAGTTATTACCTGACTTGTAAAATAAAAAAATTACAACAATGGTTTTGATGACACTATTAATTTCCTTGAAGAATTTAAACACATATAAATTAAGGTAGCCTTTTTTCGAGGTGTGATTGGCTACACTGTTTTTATTGGCAACAACGTCAGACTTTTGCAGGACTATGGATCTACAATTATGAAGATAAATAGACTTTGGTGTACTATATATACTAGCACAGCCATTGACCCATATTGTTAATGATATCGTTTGAAACGATGTTACGATCAATGGAAAGGACTATAGGTCTACGATTATACTCTTGCTATCCTCAAATAATTAGGTTAAATGTATAATAGTTTTATGTTAACAGAATAAAGAGTACAGAAATATATCACAATTTTCCGTATTGATCCTGCGAATTCACTTCTACGAACGTATGAATGGAGCTTGCTGAATTATTTAAGTTTTCATGTAGATATGTGAGATATGTGAGAAATTAGCAATTTGCAAAGTTATTGCTGATATCGCGGACTCAGCTGGTCGAAAAGTAGACTTATTGATTACGTTTCATTCGAATCAATATTTGCAAAGTTATCGCTGATATGTGGACTTAGCTGTCTGAAAAGTGGATTGATAAATTCTGATTGCGTTTCATTCGCACCAGCATATATACCACAAAATGTTAAATTCAAATATTAATTTCATACCATTAATACATTTTCCAATAAAGCATTTTTTGGACATAACTACGAACTCCATGCGTTTTGTTTCACTTAAAAAAACCTCGAGGAACAAACTGCTTTTTTTCAAACAGTACTCGTTTTTTCTTCCTTTAAAAATTTGTGACTTTTCTTTTGTTATTCTTGCTAAAGAAGAGACAAAGGTGACAAGAATTGAAGTGTGTGTTTAAGAACCGGAATCTAAACTCAAATAAGATTTATAAGTTGTGCGTTTAATATATTCTGACATACTTTTGAGCTTCAGATCTTGTTAGGCTTTTTCTTTTTTATAGTTAAACTCTATAAGTCTATTAAACTGTGATAAAATAACAAATACTTACTTCAAAATATTGTTTATTTGTGTTAATTTTTTATTAAAATGGTTGTTTAACAAATTTAAGATTTACTTGGGCTTATGAAGAGTTATAAATATTGTAGTTACTGAATTTCCATTACGTTTTGTTTAATGACATGCGGGCTATTTTTGTCAAATAAACTTATTTTTTGCATCCATAAATAACTAAATGCTGCTGTTTGCTCAATGCAAATTAAGTAAGCTTTTAAAAAACTCATAAATTAAACGAAAACTCATAGCGCTGAAAGCAGATATTTGTTGAATTAATAATATTTTTCATTTATTCAATGTGTAGACGCCATTACATTTGACATTTTTCTTTATTACATTACATCACTAGAGTACAGTAATAATAAACATAATATTTAGTTTAACAATAATACCATTAGTAGCCATTAGCAGCCATTATCGGTTTTATACACATTACATTACATTACATTTCAATGTAAATACATGCCATTTCACATATAACATATTTGAGCTTAATTTTTAAATACTCCAATACTCCAATACTCCTGCACTACCAACTCCGCCAACTCCTTTAACCATTCTGTTTTTGTTCCAATCGAATCCATAATAATCCACTTATGTTATTATTTTTAACCTTTAACACCATTTTAATATTTTATATTTAACTAGATACTTTTACTAAAAATTATTATAAAGTTTAATTCGATTTACATGACTAAATAGTTAGTTTTGAGTTACTTAATTATTTCTGTTGATACTCGTATATATTTTGTATTTTTGTATTTTAGCATTTTTTTGGTTGTATTTGTATTTGTGTATTTGTATACATATCCTATGTAAATAAGTATAGCACGGTTATTTTAAATAACCCTGCCTACTGCACACCTTAAATCTTGTAAAACTTATGATAAACTATGTAAAATTGTTACTGTGTAAAAAGGAATTTTAATAATAATTATATTTATTTTTTGTATTATGAAATTTCACACTGTTTTATAAATATTTTAATTCCATTTTATGTTAACAAAAATGTTTAATAATAAACATTTATTTTAATATTAATTTTAATTTTAATTTATTATAAAATAACTAAAGTTAACTATTCTGTTGACTAAAATTTCAACTAATTTAATGAGCTAACTTTTACCTATTAACAAATGCAGGCAAGTATAAAAATAAAGTTAATAATAATATTAAATTAATTGCTAACGTGTGAAAGAAAGTTGCAGAAATTTGAGCAGCGCCGCCATGGTGCAGTTCGGCGAAACTTTCACCTGTTGAGACAAAAAAAAAGATAAAGATACAAGAAAATATCGTTAGTAAGAATCTAGTATAAAGGCAAAGCAAGTCAGTAAAAACACAAGGCAATACACGTAATAAAAACTGATGAGCAAACTACGTGTAAAAGAAAACTGATGACGGCACACGGTTAAGTGGTTGGGAAAATTGAACTAAACTTAATTAATTGAGGCAAAAAGATTCAATTTCAAAAAGAAATTGTGTCCTTTTTCTAGCGAGTTTGTTATTGCCTGTGTGCTGTGTGTGAAGGGATCAAAGCATCACGAAATGGCAGTGGCATCAAGTGTTCAACTGAATTTAAATACTACACTCTACTCTTTATTACTCCTGTTGGTGCTTTCAAGATTTCTTTTGAGCATGAGAATATGGTCAAGGCACTTGTGCAATGACGTCAAAGCTTTTAGCTTGAAAGCATAATTATTTTCAATTACGGTAAGTTGAAAAAGTTTATATAAAAATTTGCTAACACCAAGAACTAAATTCAATAAATGACATATTTTTCCAACCAAAATTTAATGAAACATGAAACTGTCAAAGTGTTTGATTGAAGATCTGTCGCAGAAAATCCCTATTGAATGGTGTTGACTCGGATTAGATAGATAGATTAGTTTGTGGTAAATTGATGAAGCCTATTCAATTCACTTGGCTACTGCAATATCAAAACAACAAATTTCAAGGTTTTCTCATTTTATCGTCAAAAAGTTTGAGAAAAAAAATTATTTCGAGTTAATTTTGCTAAAATATTTACACTTTATACGAACTGGAATAGTCAAAAATAAAAATATTTCATATATAATGTCTACAAAATGCAGAGGTGCAAACTAGCAAATAAACATCATAATAAATTTCGGTTTCAATTTATTAAATTTAGTTAAAAATATCCACATCCGTTGTAGCCTTGAAATTTTTAAGCAAAATATGAAAAAAATGTTACTCATACGACACGATATCCAAGCTCAAAATTGACTGTTAGTAATTTTTCCTGTCCTAAGCAAATGCAATTAAATTTTCATAATAAACTCAAATGCTTTTAGTAAAGTTGGTGATGGGAAGTTTTAATATATTCAGTATCTGTATATATTATTGAAAATTAAAATTAATATTTTAGTTAATATATGCAAACATTCAATCACTGTTGGTTGTGCTGGTTTTAAAAGAAGCACAACAAGAGAACTATAATTTTGTTAGATTAAAGAAAATTAAAAACGAAGAAACATATCTTTCAAAAGTATTATGTATTATGTGTTTTAGGTTCAGAAATATTCAAAACGAAAAATAATTAATTGAAAATTATGGAATTAATCAATTAATTCATTCATTGATCCATTAATCCACTATTGGAATAGCTGCGAAGTTTTACAAACTTACCGCACTTTATATTTTATGTGAAAATTATACGAGATATATAATTTGTGGAAACTATGTTATTATGCAGATTTAACTATTTCTCTTGAAATTATGCTTTTGGTTGTTCTGGTGTTGCACGAAGCCAATGTTGTCCAAAACTTTTGACAAACCACATATAGTGCTCACCTAAAAAGCTGCAAGTGAAAATAGTCATCGAAACTAAAATTCTCATTTTAAAGCATTTCAAATCAATAACGGTTGTTAAAAGTTTCGCAACAACAATCTGAAGGCTATACATAAATCAACCCATGAAAAATATATGAATGATTGGGTCAAGCGTTGACAAAAGTTGTATTACATTTGATAATGACTACTTTGAAAATAACAAAAGGAACTTTGATTAATTTATTGATAAGTACTGATAAAGAGGTTTCGAAAAGTAGTCAACTACAACAACAAAAATTCTGTTTATTATACTGAAATTATAAATTGTATTTATATAAATATTATTTATATGAATATTGTAAATTGGTAAGGATATTTTATATATAAATTAAATTGTAATAATCTTAGTTGCTAAGATTGTTTTGAAATATCTTCAAACTTTTCAGTGACTGATGAATTAACTATTGTATAAAAGTTTAAACTGAAAAAAGTTCAAAAATTTTTTATTTTCTATTAAGCATTTGATTTTCTTCGAAATACTTTCTTTTTGTAATAATTTTATCTAATTTATTGTGACGTGAAATCACTTAAAAAATGTTAAACTAATTTAAAACCAACTAAATTGCCTACTCAATTTCATTCCTATAAAAATAACACTATAATTTAGTTTAATTGTTTTAAAATTGTGTTATTACAAGTTGAATCCTTAATTAAGCCATAACGATTCTTATTGAATTAAATAACTACCTTAACTTGTAACCATTAATTATGGTTTTTAACTATTTAATTGAAGAAAGCAATAAGGCATGTCTCATTATCCTTCCTTTCAGGCATAAAACTACAAACAGTTTGACCGCGAGTTCCAAAGCCACAACTGAGGTAATTAGTTTCACTTGTCAACACTGCCCACAACTTACCATTTAAAATGTGCACTACGATGGTGAAGTTTTGAAAATCACTAATTGAGCAAGTATAATTTCCCGAATCGGCTTTATTGATTTTCGCTATGGACAATGTAGAATTGGCACCATCATCCTTCAATTCCGTTTTAACACTGAAAATGAACAGACAGAAGACAAAGTTATTTCGAATGTTGGAGATAAATTCGATTGGCAATTAGCAGAGTTAAATTAAATTTGTCTCATTTATTATTTTAAAAAAATTTTCAATTTTACCTGACACCGCCACGTGTTACATCGTAATTAAGTACATCTTCACCATGCTTCCAGTAGACCACGGATGTGGCCATCGCTACATTACGCACCACACAGGACAATTGTAATGTTGAATCGATTTCATAGTATTTTTCTTGTAGTGGATCGCCGAATTCATCCACAATCATCACTTTGGGCGCTATAGGTATGCAAAAATAGACAAAATTTATAAACGTTTCAGTATATATGGTACTCGTATGTAGAATGTTATTTGCATTTATTATTTATAAAATACATACTCGTACAATACAAAACTGTATTGTAAAATTTATTTACATAAACAAATGTACTTCAATTGTCAGCATTTGAAATTTACTCACCATTAACATGCAAATTAATTTGTATCACACGCGGCGGATGTGTTGAGATCTGGCATTCGTACATGGCCTCGTCGTCCTTTTTCACATTTGTGATTTTCAAACGCCAATTGTTTGGATACTGAAACTCCATTTTGTAGCGTTTGTCACCGGTATAGGTGTGTAAGCCGACAGTCAATAAATCCAGCGCGTTTTCACCTTGTGCATTGCGACGCACCCAGGAGACCTGTTTTTATTTATAGGTAGTACATTTCCATTTTATTTTTATTTGCAAATTTATTTGTGTTTTATTTACTTTTTGTGTTTCAATTTGAAAATCTTATTGTATGCATAATTAATTAAAAGCAAAAGCATGCAGGATACAGAAGCGAACATAAAATTAGTGTGGGACTATGGGAGGATTGATGTCATCTGCTGTTTACGAGTATATACACATATACCATAGCTATGTAAGTGGCAACTGTGGCAATAGTTGCTAGCTGTTGCAACCAGCGACTACCACTTCAGTTGCTACTCCAAAGTGTGGGATTGCTTTTTGTGAGTCACACTCAGGTGACATTCACGGCTTAAACTTGCCATGCAAACCAACGATTGTGCAGCTGCGAGCACTTCTGCTCGTAAAATTTCTTAGCTTTCATTTATTTATTTTAAGCTACTTGTACTATATTTTATTTTATTTTCTTATTTTCTTATTTCATTATTTTGTGTTTGTTTTTTATTTATTTTTTCATTTTTTTTATTTCTTTTTAGTTCTTTGGTTGCATTTTGTTTTATAGATTTACTTACAGTCTTATCCTGCAGCAATGAGATTCTGCAATTCAAATGTATACTGCTACCCGCTTGCACCGTCATATTCGTTGGCTGTCCCACTCGCTGCACGTCCTCGAAATGTGGTCCATATCTAGCCGTGAGCAGAATTGTGCATATTTGTAGAGGAGCGCATAATAAGTGAAAAAGTGTATACTTTTATTTTAAAGCTGCTTAAACAAATCCTTATTTTAAATTCTATAATATGGCATATATAAACAGTTTCTGTTCACAAGGTGTTCTAATAAGGAACTGCTTTGTTTCAGCCCCTCTCTAAATATCGCTTAATGCATTGTGTATTATAAATGATTAGTTTTGTTATGCATCACGTATACAGATCTTAACTTAATGAGAGTAAAAGAATTAATTCCTCATTTTATATTTTATATACGCATTCACATAAAAGCTCCTTTCAACTTTATAAATATACGAGTATAATTAACCTCTGGAATACAAATAGCATTTAATATCCTAAATGCTTTATGCATTAAAAACTTATTCTATAATATTAAATAGATTAAAGTAGAAAAAACAAAACACCTCAACATTTCAAATGACAAGATGGGTTCGTCATAATAAAGGATAATTTAAATACAAAAAGTTAAAAATGCAATTACTTGGCAAAATAAGGACGCTAGTCAGGTGTCAGAAGATAATATTAAATAGAAATAATATTAAAATTAATATTAAAAAGAAACACAAAGAAAATTCTAAATGGCTATAATTTTAGTTATAGAATAAAAAAGTAAATAATGTAATACTTAAAAGGTATCATTTCACAATAATTTTGTTAAAATATTGGATACTTCCTGTAACTTATATTAAGTTAAGCCTTGTACATCTACGGCAAGTTGACCTCAAATATTTGCCGTTTGTGATAGCACGATATTTATATACATAAGTTATACTAAATGTTATATCTAAACGATATCTTTAAAGTGTGCATTAGAGATATTGCCCATTTTATAAAAATAATGTTTATGTAGATTTGCTGTAGTAAGTTAGATCCCTTAAATTACCAATACCATAAGCTACCACTGAAATTTATGTATCTATCTAAATATTTTATTCATATGAATCCAAACTTATAAGTTGGTAAGACTGAGATTTTATTCCAATATGCTTTGTCCATAAGCAAACTTTGTTTCAAACAGTGTTATTTGCCACTGCAATCTTTGATAGTGAATAAAGCGACAATGAACATAATATCTGAAATCCAAAACAACTTAATAGAGTTTATCTATTATAATTCGTTCGAGTTTGTTTAAGAACTGTCTGTCGATTCTTAATGAACTGAGATAAAACTACTTTATGATTTTTTAACCCATTCACAGTTTCAAGTAGTCTATTTTTAATGAGCAAAGACGATATTGAAACTCTCAAAGGGTTTGTTGTAGGTCACAGTTGAACACAGTCTCTCTGAATGCTTACAATTTTATTGCAGCTGACTTATTTATTTTAGTGAAGGACACATATGAAGCCGGTTCATCTTTTTTACTCCATGATTTCTTTCGTTTAACTTTATTATAGACAACATGTATTCAATTTCTCAAAAATAGAAAATTTACTTTAAAATTACATATATATTTTTAATATATATTAATCTGTAAAAAATAATGTATCTCTAACATAACACTAAGACAATTAGAAAACTTTGACTAATAATTTTGTTCTTAACGAAATCTATCAAATTTATAGGATGTATGACTACACACTCCACTCATTCGATGAAATCGAAATGCGGAATCTATTATTAGCTCTACTAAGACTAACATTAAGTTTTTAGAGCTTTCTCTATTTCTGAGTATTGATTAGTGCCTGCAATGTACGTATTAAGTACATAAATGTACGTATTATTTGCAGAGCGAATAAGCCAGACATACATTTTTTTCGAATTAGAGAGTTTATGTAAAATTTTAGATCAAAAACGAAATTAATTGACCATTTAAAATGTTAAAGAAGGATCTTGAATACGATACTGCGTCATAACCGAAAGTTTGGTTATAGTGAAACCAAACATAGGATAAAAATATTATCTGGAAAATATTGAAAAAAACGTGTGGTCTGGACATTTTAATACGTAAATATGAAGAAATAGAAGGATGGCACAAATCACAAGAGATAATGTTCTTGTTCTTTGGTAAATTTTGATATTTAGCCAATAATTTTTCGTCACGAATTAACATTACTACCATATAATGTTGCAAGCCCGTATTGTTGTTATTTTCTATTTTTATAAAATTAGAACAACACTTTTCAAAAAATGATGAAATTGAACTCAATTTGCAGAGCGAGTTTAAAACTTTCCCAAAAAACAGTTCAACATATTTTTCCTGACTCTAGGAAATAAGACTTAAATGCATAATATTAATTAGGACCTAACTGAATGAGATGGAATAAATGCTGAAGAAATAAGAAAAAGCTTTGTCAGAGAATCAAAAATGCTTATTATTTTTTAATCATACCTCGTATTACTTAATTCCCAATTATTTTTAAATAATTTAATTAAATTTAATTTTTCACTCTCATTTTTTTTTTGTGATATTTGCCAATTCTTCCCTTTCTTGATTTGTTTCGTTGGTCAGTAATTGTTATTTACACATTTAATTTTAATTGTACAATTATCATTAAGTTAACTGTCTTTTATAAATATACTCTAAAGTTCATACAAAGGGCAATAAAAAAAATAAATTAATTTTTATTTCTCCGTAATCTCATATGTACATCTCTTTGAAATCCAAATTGTTCAAATGGAATAAAAACTTTCCTTGTACATCTTATAGTATTACTTTGTACATCAAAATATTATTATATGCATTAATTGAAAATAAATACTTTCCGGTATATTAGACATAAGCTTTCAAAATTGTTGGAGTAACTGTAACAAAAGCAACCTTGGCTCCAATGCTAATTACATAATATTATATCCATAAATATAGCTATACACCATGAAAATCCGAAATTAAAGAAATCAAATGAAAATATAATAAACGAACTGCAATGGTATAATCTCTTGTGATATGTAATTAATATTTAATATTCCAAGTGACCGGAATGATATAAAGATTATTTACTATTCTAGGAGTACGTCCAGGTAATGATATTAGTCAAACATAAATTAATTTCGTTTCGAGATGCTTCACTTAATGAAAGGACGCAATATTAACTTTAATCTTACTTGTGCCTGTGGACGAACCCAAATGTATTGTACTCAATATGATTTCCATTGTCAACAAAATATTGGTATAGGTAGGTATATAGATAAACACAAAATTGTGTGTATATTTGCATAAGTCGCTTGCAAAGTCTTCAATCAACCGCAAATAAATCGATACATATCTGACATGTCAAATAGCAATTTTGCTAGCTTTGAAGCAAATCTCATATCATTGAAGGAAGTTATTAAATTGAATTATTAAAAATAAAAAAGATTAATAAAATGACAAAAAAAACTTAATTATCTATTGACAGATGGATATTCCATTAAAACTTAAATTAATAATTAAAATAATATTGATTTTTTATGTTTTATTTATTAGATATTCACTATTATTAGTTATAAAGTTATAATTATATGCCTAGTTATATTAGTTATAATTAACTAAACTAAAACTATTTTGCAATGACAACAAAATATTAGTAACTTATATACTGCACTAATACTTTTAACGAAAGATGGGAAGACTCAACGGTATGTAGACATCTGTAGGCAATCTGGTTACTTTCCGATAAAAGGAAATCGAAAACTCTAATTAAGATGTCCCGCAAAGACATTGGTCTTCTGGTAGGGTTGACTACAGGACACTGTAAACTAAGGAACCATGCTAGAAGACTAGGTCTTCCTTTTAATCAAATCTGTCGTAGTTGTGGGGAGGACGAAGAGAGCGCATCTCATCTTTTGTGTTTTTGCCCAGCTCATGCACGTCGGCGACTTAGTACTTTAGGAGCCCCCTTCCTTGAGGACCTGGACCAGTTACAGGATCTGACTTTAAATAGCATTTTATGCTTCGCAAAAGGTTCTAGGTGGTTTTAAACCCTGAAGTTTTCATTATTTATATACGGCATCACAATGGGCCAATAGGCCTAAGTGGATCCACTGGGGATCACCGGTATAACCTAACCTAACCTATATACTAATAATTTGTTTTCATTAAAAATATACATTGGTGCTTTAATTTTATTGTAAAATTTATTTATCCAGCAACGTGACCAAAGGAAGTTCTGGTGTTTAAACGTCCACTAAAATATTTCGGATAATTGTGTATTATACTCGTATATACTGAAGTTTTTAAATTAAATATGAACGTTAAATTCGTTAAAAATTACATCAGTTCCACTAATTGTTTAAAGTAATACATTTACTGGTTGCTATTAACTATTTTTGAAACGAACCACATTTTAAACGAAACTTTTGGTTTTTGCATGTAATTAAACTGGAAGCACAGCAAATCCTAAAATTAAATTTCAAAAATATAAATTTTTAAACATCATTGGTTTGAAGACCAGTTTTTAAACCAAATCATGGTTTACACGCTTTGGGATTAGCTACCTTTTCGAATTGACGGAGCGCACTAAATCTAATGACTCTAAGATCATGGTTGAGGGAGCACAAATACCAGTAGGGCCATCTAAACCAGTAAAATTGAGGATAAACATTAAAGCGAGAAAAAATGTGGCTGGACTGTATCATCTTATATTCGTATATCCTACAGTTGCCTTAAGTATATAGCTCATTCGGTCCAACGTTAGAAACAACAAATGTTATTAGTAATGCTATTCATAAAACCAAGTAAACTTAAATTGGTCAATTTTTCGAAAATACCACTGATGAAGGGTATTTGGCAATACTCCAAACAGCTATAGGTCAGCCAAAAATTCAATTAATTATAAAATAATAAAATTTTTATTGTTGTAATTAACTACTGTTTAAAATACCACTCTATTAAAACAATAGTTTCTATTAAGAAAAATGGTAATTGACTTTAAAAATAAAAATTAAATAAATTAATTTTACTTAAAATTAAATTCGATAAGCAATTGTATGACTGATTTGCTTAAATTTTGGGTATTTTTTTATATCGTCATGCTTATCTAATACCTATGTCAATTGCAGTTTTAGTTTTGTTAAAAAATAACATTTTGATGTACTATATTCTGAGAAAGCTAATGCGTGGGTATCTTCTCTGAGAACACAGACGTGTATGTCATTGGCAAATATATTTTTGGCTGGAGTTTGGATTTTGCTTTACGCACTCTATTAACTTGTTTTAGTAAGAAATATATAGCTGTTTAGAGCAATTCTTTTGCTTAGTTTTTCTTAAGCAGAATAATATATCTCCTGATATATAGACCGTTAGGGTACTTTTTATTGAGCAGAATATTTATGAACATTTTCTCATTTTCATTGCGAAAAATTGAACCGCTTATACTAAATACACATCTAATTAAAGTAAGAGCTGTGTTCCGAATTATAAATAAGGGTGTTAAGAATTAGAGTTAATAAATCGTCCAGTGCTTTTAAATTTTTGATACCAATTTATATTGAGTCGCGTCCAAATACTATTAATTGTTTAAAATACTTTTAAAAATCATTACTGTTTACATAAAAAGAGTAATTAGAAAATTTTTTTTAATTTCATCAACTTCTGTTTTAACTAAAATTAAAAATATAAATTAATTAAAGCTTTATTTCCATCACTACAACTTTATTATGTGCTTCACATTTTGTTAAATGAAAAGCAGTAAAAAATTGCCTTAAGTATGCTGCCAAGACAAGATGAAAACAGCTTAGTTATATGAAGAAAATTATAAGTAGAGCGCAATATAACTTCGTAAGTCTTTAGTTTGGCTGGATAAAATATACTGCACTAATATCTTTTGTCATAATCACTTTACGGCATTATAATGAGCATTTATTAAGTTGGAAAACTGTTGTAATCTCTTGTTTTCTCTAAGTTAATCTTAGAAAATTTAGAATTATTACTCTTGCAACGAAATGTCGTAAACCATGAATGTGTACAATAAAAATTTTTAATGCAATTTCTCATAGTTGAAACTAGTGTAGGGTGAAACAGTAACCTATTTTATGGAACACCTTGTAAAATGGTAAAATGGTAAAATGGTAAAATAACAAAATTACGATGCCATAATGCTATAATACTATACATACATTACATTATTTATGCAATATGAACAATTTATTATTGGATGAAAACTCAAAAGTACTCATTTTTCAGCTGTACATTTGCCATTATTTTCTTTGGTAAACTCATATTTTTCAACTCGTACTTTGTACTCGTATTTATGCTTTTAAAGTTATATACAAAAGATAATCTCTTTTACGATTTGATATGCTCAAAACAGTGTAAAAGCACAAGTCCAATGTTAATAAATTTTCATTCGTCACGTGCTTCATGCTTTAGTTCAGCTCAGCTCAGCTCAGACTACTATAGCTTGGTACTAGCAAAATTTCATACTATTTTTCATACTATTTTTCTAGTCTATTTTTCTACTCTATTTTATTTTATATGCATGGAGGTTATTTCCATAGAATTTTTCATTTTCTTCTGCTTCGCCTGCCAACTGCTAAGCTGGGAATTGAATTTTTTTCTTTTAGTTTCTGTTAAATTTGTTTTTGGTTCTTTTTGGTTCTAAAAGGAAAATACAAAGTATTTTTCATTGTAAAAGCAGTTGCATTTGCTTGTGGAAACAACAAAAGATGATTAAGCTTGCACTACCTGACACTTACTTAACTTAATTTAATACTTAATTTAGTTAAATGCTCGTGCAAGTGCAAATTTGTTTCATTTATTTTTTGAGATACGTAATCAAATGCATGTAGCCATAATATTTTCAATGTTGTTTCAACTTGAAATATATTGTAGTAGGGACATTGTGAATGTAAAATGAAAATATCTCTTATTTTATATAAAATGTTAAAGTTGCTGGTGTATACCTGTACCCCGCTAGCTCTTCCATTTCCTCTTCCTTATTGGTTGCTAACATAAATAATTGCAGTATTTGCCAAATCACTTACTGCTGCTGCTGTTGCTGTTGTACTGACCTACATAAATTCCATTTACCAAATCCGCCTCATTCCCAGTGACATAAAAATGGATTTCAATTTCTTTGAACTTTTTTCTAAATTTCCTACTTTTATCCATATCTGTTTTTTCACATTTTATATTTTATACACACAAATTTCCAATAAAGAACTTAACTTAGAAATACACTGTTTTACGTCAATGCAGACACAGACACAGTAAGACAAACACATATTGCCACACATAAATTCGATGGAGCTGTAGTACCCAATTCTAATACTAAACCTAAACCTAAATCTAAACCTGTTCATCGTTATTATAGTTATTGGCAACACTGGCAGTATAAGTGTTACTATTATATACATGCAGTTACTGTAACTGTTAATATTGCAAGTACAAGTATTGAAATTGGTTACCTTTGATCATGATGATGATGCTTATTCGCCGACGAGAACGTATCGAAAATGTAGTTAAGCATTGGTGCATCCGTTTTTTGTGGCTTTGGAAGTATGTATTTGCTTTCGATTTTTTTCGCCGAATTTCTTGTTATAGATTTACTACTTGCAGTGGCATTGCTACCTCCAGTGGTGGTGCTGCTGCTGCCGCTTTTATTCAATGTTATTGCAGTTGTTGCAGTAGTTGACTTTAAAGCGATTTTTTGCGAGCCAATATGTTGAAAAGTTGCACTGCCATTGCCAGTGTGTTGCAACTTGTTACCGGCACCGGCACCAGCTGCTGTGGCAGCACTATTATCGGTACCACTATTTCCGTTTAGTTGTGTTTTCGTTACTGTTTCGTTAAAGCTTAATAACGATAATGACGATAAATCCTGTGTTTTATTAAAATGCGTTACTGCGGCATGCTGTATAATATGTTTCGTCATGGTGTAATCCGAGCTATCGATTTCATTAGTATCTGAAACAAATACACATAAAGAGATGAAATAACCGCACTTAAGCCACATGATATAAACACATCTACAAAAACAACAGCAATAAATGCGAAATATAACCACAAGAAGGTCATATATACGTATACGCTAATATGAGCCCGCATATGGGTAATTAATGTTGGAAAATTATGTATACATACATATTAACAACAACCACACTCACACACACACACACACACATAGAACTAGTTGGATTACATGAACTTACGTTAAAGAGTGTCAAGAGCACGTGATATTAAATAATGATGAACTAAACGGAATACAAATTAACGTATTTTCTCTGCGTGTACAATGGGTTTATGTATGTCTATATATGTTATGTTGCTTCGTCTCTTCACATATGTCTATATCGCTAAGCAAGTATAAGGATCTTGTAGGACACACACACACATACATACATATTGTGTCTTCATTGTGTGGCTTTGAATGTACTCGTACGTATGTATTTGTAATATATTGGATGTTGTATTAAACTTTAATCAATTTTAATGGAATTTGTATTGTATGGACTTTTACCAATTTATATCTTTCTATAATTTATTTTTTTACATGTAAGCAATATAATTTTGTATGTATAAGGAGTTTTGCAAGAAATTAATGAATAATTTTTGTTTAGGTCAAGCCACCATCTATGGTACGTGCGAAAAATTGTAAGTCTAAAAAAACAACAAAACATTTTACATAACATACTATAAGGATAACATAAGGATAAAAAGTAACGTAGACAAACATAAAATATCTGCAATATTTTCAAATTTAATTTTAACAAAAATGCGTATAAAATTAGAATAGACTTTCAATCTAGATTTTAAAACATACTATTGAGTGTATTAAACACACTCACATAGAATATACATATTTTAATTAAATTTTTAATAAGTTATATAAATTAAAATGGAATGTTGGAAATTGTTTAATTGAGATATTGTCTACTTCAATTGTAAACCAATTTGCAATAAATGAAATAGTTGAGATTTTATTAAATTTTCAATTAAAAACTATTTTTAAAAAGTGGAATAATAAAATAAATTATGTCAATAAAAATTGTATTTAATAATACGGTTAGTAAGACTCATAATTTTCAAAGTATGTTAATTTAATATTTCAAATAATCAGATATTATATAACTCTCTAGTGTATTACAATGACTGCCAAAAACCAAGCAATTGCTGAAAAGAACGGGTATAATTTATGAACGACCTTTTTTAATTACAGACTTTTTCACTACACCACTTGAAAATTCAATTCCTATTGTAATGTTAAGCCAAAGGTAGATAGCTCTACAGGTTTTCATACGTCGTGTATCAAGTAAGAGCTTGACAATATCTGCATTTAGCTTGTTGACAGACTTAAGTGCTATATTCCCTAGACAAAACTTTATTCGCCATTGTGATTAAACTAAAAAATGCCTTTCAAAGAAAGAACCAGTCTAACTGCAAACTTAAACTCCTATTTTACAAACAGCTAATTCGCCCCATAATCTCATACACTTTCCCCATATAGTCTGCAATCAGTTCTACTCAATTGAAAACAATCCATATTTTTGAGCGTAAGGTCCTCCGTAATTCTATCAAGTACAAGCACTTGTCTGATGCTAAGCATTTCCCCGTCGTCTACAAGAAAGCTCAAATTAATTGCATCGACGAAAACCTCACCCGGCGCTACCACAACCGGTCACATAACCTAACTTCCGACATCTCAATCCGTAGCACCCTTTCCTCTGGGCTCTTGGATGTATGTGCCTTAACGCAGCCCAATGGCTCATACCATTTTTCAATGAGGTGTTCAGATGTATTTATCACACCCTTTATAACCGTAGCTTTTGTGATTCTAGTCAAAGAGTTTACAAGTAACTCATTTCCCACACTCGCACAATAAATCCTCCCACTTTCACTTACCCCTCTTACCATGTGCCGCTCGCATGTCCTGTGACATGTCTTAACTCTTTCCCCTAACTACTGAAATTCATTCCTAAGAAGTAGATTTAGATGTGTGGCTTCACCTCTAGCAAAAAAAACTCCAGAATTTTTAATAGAATAATGAAACTTATTAAATAAAAAATCGTCGTTCACCCAATTTCGACTTATGGATGCAAAATTTGGATATTAAAATATAGTGAAATTAAGTAATTGTCTACGTAGAGTTCCAAAAAAAATATTTTTCGCTTTAAAGAATAGGTATATTAAAGCTTTTCGCATTAGATATAATAAAAAAAATTGATCTGTAATCCATGGCTGGGATATTTACTACACCGACTGAAGAATGCATTCTTCAAAAAATTAATACTTCCACAGACTTTTAGTTTAAGCGCAAAAGGGAGGACCAGAAAAATATGTATTGATGTGACTGAAAATGAAGTTACAAAGCTGAGTGCACGTAAAAATACATGTAGAATAATAAGAATTTTCGTAATAATATAAATATTTTTTAAACAGTGTAAATACAAAAAATCTAGAGATTCAACGAAAAATCATTCTCGCCAATAGATGTTATTTCGAATCAAGAAAAAATTGAAAAATAAAGACCTTATAAGGAGCGTTCAAGAAAAAATTCAGAAGATCTATGCTACCATACATCGGTAAGAATTATTGAATTTGATGAAGCGATAAGTTGTATGAGCTATGCCACGTCGTTAAAATAGATAAAATTTAACAGCTTCACTTGGTCACGTCGTACAAATGAATGAGAATGCTTCGACTAGAAATATGTTTGATTTGACGGTCGGTGATGAAAAACTAGGTAAAAGATGTAAGTATCTTCGATAGAAAGACCAGGTGTGTATTGATATAAAGGAACTCGGAAGTACCAACTGGTGACAGTAAGCTACTAATCGGCTGACTGAAGAAGGGTATTGGACGTGGTAACGAAAGACTGGGCGTGGTTTTTTTTTAAGTTTGATTAATATTAATTACAAGTATTTCAGTTATAAATTTAGCTTAACACATATTTTAAATTTAAAATACAAATAATATGAATCAAAATTGAAGTACTTCTATACTGTGTACAAAAGAAAAATGTTTTTACTACTTCCTTACACTTTAAAAATTGATTATATCCATATCCATCTTTAATACAAAAATGTTAATAATTTTTGTTTAATGTATACTTTTTATTTTCATTTCATTATTGTAAATTATTAAAATTTTTGATATATAATATCAATAACATTTAACGGATAAACATAAAAAATAAATAGAATTTAATTAATTATTAAATGTTAATATATGATACGTAATCTTTACTATTTTTTTAATAATTAAGCTTGAACTATTATTAACTCGCAACTTAATTTGAATTTTAAGCACATTTTAATAATTAAATATAAATTTAATTTAATCGGTTTTATTAAATGTTATTTGTTTTCCATTTAATTAAATTAATTATTTCAATGTATAAATTCATCCGTTTCATGTAAATATACACATAACTTTGTTGGAATTATTGTAACAATAAGGTCAGTTAAGTTAAATTTTTTATTAATACATATATTAATTAATAACAAAATATATTTTCAAAAGAATTTATGCAAACATATAATAAGTGTTATATAAAAAGAATGGTAGCAATATTATTACGACGTCCTGATATTAATAGTCATTGTTGATTTTAAATTACAATGTCATTCACAAAGGCTTATTGTAAGGGGAAAATGAAAAAATTCTCACAATAATTAATTTAAAAAATCACCCTATTAATCTTTTATTTGATAAAGGAGGGAAAAGTTTTCTAATTACCTTGAAAAAATTTTAAGTTAATTAGGCTACGAAACTTTATTGACAACTAACGAGCTTATCTACAAACAGCACATGAAGCGGTTTATTGGCCCACTATTTTACTAACCAAGTCTCAATGGTTCATTATGTGTGCTTAAGTGAGATTTGAAATACGAGTACTACTTCAATCTATATCTATTAACTGCTGCTGGGGAAATGAAAGTCAATGCATTGTAAGTTCAAACTACCTAGGGCGTGTGCGAGTTCAAGTAAATTGAGGTAAGGTAAATTGAAATTTCCTAGAAATTTTTTGCATTGCACCTATGTAAATATTTATTTATTTATTTATTGCACTTATTTATTATTTTTGGTTAAAAGTTTTCAAATTGATTTATTTATTTATTAAACATCTTATAAAATTTACACAATGATTTACACCTTATTTATATAATTTTTATCTAATTTACCCTACTCGAAATTCTGGTGAATACCAACATTCGCTACCATACCTACATAATTTACTATTTCCCTCAATTTACCATCAATTTACTCAAACTCGCACACGGCTCTAATAGTAGAATATAATGAATTGCATTAGCTTTTTGTTGTTACTTTTTTTAAATTATCTAATAAATAAATTAAATACAAAATAATTAATGTACTTGTATTAATGTACTATTTTTTTGTAACATGTGTAAAAAATATATATATGAATATACTATGTTCAACTGCAATATCTGGGTAATGGAGGTCGCTGCGTTTCAACTTGATGTGAACCAGTTGAATCTATCTAGTTATAGAATATATAATATTAGGAATTATATATAATTTTGGCGACCGCGCTTCTTTGATAATCTTATAATTAAATTAAATATAAATTAATCAGTGTACTTCTATGCAAAGTTAGTATTGTTTTTTTAACATCTATGGTCCTCTCTTACTACTACGTCTGGAAAATGGAGGTCTTTGCGTTACCAGTTCAACCTACATAATTATAGAATGTCATTCTTTAATGGACATACTAAACATAATATAATTAATACACTTCTCTACGTACTAATATATTTTTATATATTAACAGCTATACATGTGTCCAATAATACTGCTGGGAAACAGAAGTTTATGCATTGCAACTTAATACTAAGCAATTCCACATACCTAATAGATTGAATGCACTTTTTGCTGCTACTGCTGTTGATCATCTAATAGATTATTTAAATCTATAACCATTAATATACTTCTATGTGATGTTAGTATTTTCTTTTAATAACAGCTATGTGCGAGTATATCTCTAAGTGACACTGCTGCGAAACAGAGGTAGAATGCCATTTAGCAATACGAATTCAATTCATTATTTTAATGTTTTTTTTTGATTATCTTATAGTTACATGTATGTAAAAAAATTTTAATACACTTCTAATATACTTCTATGTAAATTTAATACTTTTATATATTGGCACTTAGGGATATGAGAAAACACATTTTTGCATTACATCACCAATGGAAGTAATGGGAATAGCAGCACTAAGAAAATAGTTGGTAAAGTATCAACATTTGAAACAAGTGCTGTTTAAATTATATAACTAAAAAAGTAATGTTTTCTTTAAAAAGATGTTTTAAAAAAAATATTGCTGTTATAACTAATTTTTAAAACATTTTCACTTACTTCATTTAGACAGTTTTTCTCTTATACTCCGAAATGAGAATAATTAAGCATACAAAGCATTTTTATATAAATTAGCTTATTATAAATAAATCAATAGATATAAGACGAAAAATGTCGAATGCAGGTCTTAAAAATTAATTTCCCACAACTGATGTTATGAAAATTTAAAATATTTGTCATATGATTAATTAGTAAAATATAAACAAAGAAGCTATTTAACATATGTAAATGAGTTTATGCCAATGGGAACGGCCTAATCTTAATTTCATTAACATAAATAGTGTTAGCTGCAGTGGAAACATGATATTAAATTTATCTAAAGAGAAGTATTCGTTGTTGCGCTGTATGGTCAGCCAAATTTCAATAAATTCATCAAATTTTGGTTTTTGTTTCTTCTTCATTACTGTTTGAACCCTTAAAAGTATTTAAATTGTTTATAAATAAAGTCGCCCGTGCGAATCGTGGAGTAATATTAATTATTTCAATTATTCTACAGCTGGTTTATGATTTCGTTCCTATATAAACACAGCAAGTCAATTTGTTAATAAAACTTTCACAGCAAATTAACAAAACTTCTGAAAAATGTGCACACATAAATTTCAAGTATAGCTTTTTGTTAGTTGGTTAAGGAGCGCTGACTCTGAGTTTGATACTTGGCAGGGCACGACTTCGATTCGAGTACAGTCTTCAAAAAAAAAATTATTTACGAATAATTAAATACATTATTTCCAATTATTATTTCCAAGACCACTGATGATGGATATTTGGCAATACTCGAAACAGCTGTATGATCAGCCAAAAATTTTATTAATTAAAATACTATAAAGAAGAAATTTTGTTGTTGTAGTTCACTACTTTTAAAAAAACTTTTTGCAAATAATTAATAAATTTTACAGTCAGCTATGAATATGAATAAATACATACATATAAATGTATGTACATATAAATGTATGTATATTATTTAGTACATACAATCACTTATTTATATTATTAAAAATTGTGTGTGTACAATAGATTAATCTATTAGTAATTGTAATGTTAAAACATCCGATGAGTAAATATTTCAATTACTCCTTAATTTAAATCACACCTTTCCATTGCATATGTCGGTAAAAATATATGCGTACAATATAATAACTTTTGGGTAAATGTAATGGAAACACATTCGAAGAGTAAATATTTCAATTGCTCCAAAACTCGAATCACACTTCTCTATCCCACATGTCGATTGAATGCAGCCACTACTTTACACATCCACATCAGCTCAGCTCAATTAAACTCATTATTCTTACCCACAAACACTTTGCTCAAATGATTTGAGGTTTCTAATGGGAATTTAAATTCATCAATAGTTTCAAAGTAATTACATAATAATTATAAGAGCCAAATTGAAAACCGGAAGGTGTATTAAAACAGGTCATTTAAAAGTAATCAACAGAGAGATACTTTGAAAAAGGTAATCATTTCTTTAACCTAAATTATGCCACAAAATGGTTCATTTTATATAAAATAGCATATTTTTCAGCATTTTTACAGCATCGTCATCATCATCATCAAAAGCATCAACAGCATCAACAGCACCAACGTTGGCATTGGGCATCATCATGGAGAGATATAATTTCTGACTGACTTCTTTCTTGTATTGTATAGTGGAGAATAAAATATATATATATTTCTACTACAAAAACGATAATAATAATACAGAAAAAAGAGGAGCAGAGAAAAAAGTTTTAATTAAAAGTTTGTTTTAGGTGTTCTTCTTTGTTTGACGAAATAAAATTTGACATTACCACTGACTTTAATGCAGAAAAAGCAAAAACGGAAGTAACCAAAAGTTTGTGTTGCATTAATTGAAATTAATTAATGGTATAAAAAATAAAATAAAATAAAATAAAAACAAACTCAAATAACTTTGTAAATTAATTTAAGCAAAACGAGCATGACTCCACGTGCCACTAAATAAAGTTTGCAAACCATAAACAGCGAACGCTAAAACTCCAATGGACGACCGCAGATTTTTCCGGTTGAAGTTGCATCAATAAATATATAAATTCATAATGTCATGTGTCCACATGTGGAATAGCCACTCAATGCCAGCAAAAAAGATGACAAACGATTCTTTTGTAAAATAAAATGTTTGAAATAAATTTTAAAAAGCTTTTCAATTTTTATTTATTTTGCAAGATGTTAACTGCAGGGAAAAAATTAAGCTTGAAATATACAACAAATCCAAATGAAATTTGTCAAAAACACGAGCAGATTTAATGCAGTCATTCATTAAAAATGCGGATGTTTCAACCATAAACTTTTGTTCAATCTAAATTAAAAATAAGTTTTTAATCACTTAATACAACAACAACAACAACAAC